ATGACGAACTTCTTGCGACCATGATGCCAAATAAGAAGACCAAGAAGCCGACAACCAGAAAGCCGACAGGTGGCAATATCCAGGTAAGACGTTCAAACTCAGTCTTCGTAGACACCAAAAAAACACCATTGTTCGCTTCTTGTTCGAAAAAATACTATGAGGGCTCAATTACAGGAACTTGTTGACAAAATGCTTGAAGCCGACATCTATAAGGCTGGACCTGACGACTATAAGGTTAATTACGGCAGCAAAGTGTCCGGCACAACCGACAGGAGCAAAAATGAGTACGTTCGTAGTTATCTATATGACTTTTAGACTTAAGAAGAGTATCTTCAGTCTATTCTACGACGTGAACGAGGAAATCTTCAAACAGCCTGTTTACGATGTCTTGATAAAATTAGTCGAAAATGGAGTGTTCTACAACGATGTAAGTTCGATAGAAGGCTAGGAGTTTGAGATATTGAACCGAGATATCCAGGTCTGTGAGCAAGAGAAATCCATGGACGGGACTCGGAAGGCACAAGTTCAGAAATTACTTGACACCTGGACAGACACAGAAGTTTTCAGATTAGCTTATGAGTACTTGCACGCTAAGAGTACGTTCTCCAATCTTAGTGGTTAGAATAACTGGAGTGGAATTGCAGATGAGCCACATTCGGACTCATTTGAAGAGCTGAAAGAGTTCCTTTTCAACTTCTGGTTTGGAACATATTCTCGTTGCTCAGGACCCATGGGAAGCTCTGGTAAAATTCATACAGTATCAAAATCGTCCTGTAATCTCTATCAACGCTTTGAAGGTTTTGAGCATGTCTTCACTGGAGAATGGAAGCAGGGTACTGTTGGAGGGCATCACAGCTGGGTTACCTACTACTTAGCGCAGAAAGCAGGAAAGATCAACTACCATGGATATTACACTCAAAGAGGGGTCGGCTTTTGAAACTTTGTGGAACTTACTCACAAGGAGAAGTTGATTGACAGTCTTTTAGCTCACTACGGGAACCTTCCAATACAAATGGCAATCCTATATGAAGAAGAAGGGCGGTATGCTGTTTGGAACTTCCCCAGGTGATTTTTCTCACAACAGAAACATC